TCAAGAAAATACCATATAGCAGTTCAAATCACTTAGATCTACATGTATCACGTTTCTCCATTGTATGGCTTTTTCACATTTGTCAAAAACCAGTTGGCCATACTTCTGTGGGGCTATTTCTAGGATCTCAACTCTGTTCCATTGATCTATTTGTCTGTATGTGAAACATAGTCTCGCCATCTTTGCTTCTCAGGAACATTCTGGTTGTACTTCTTCCAAGACAGATTTGTTTGTTCTTTTGGCAGTCCATGGTATATTCAATATTCTTTGCCAACAATACAACTCAAAGGCGTCAATTCTTCTTTGGTCTTTTATTCATTGTCCAGCTTTTGCATGCATACGAGGTGACTGAAAACACCAGAGCTTGGGTCAGGTGCACCTTAGTCTTCAAGGTGACATCTTTGCTTTTTAACAATTTAAAGAGATCTTCTGCAGATTTGCCCAATGCATCATTTGATTTCTTGACTGCTGCTTCCAAGGGTGTTGATTGTGGATCCAAGTAAAAAGAAATACTTGACAACTTCAATCTTATCTCCATTTATCAGGATGTTACTTATTGGTCCAGTAATTAATGTAATCATTTTTCATTGTTTCAAACTTTATAAGCTTGTAAGCTTCAGCTATTTCAAATATTCTGTTGTGTGTCATCAATATTTCAAATACAATGTTGTTGTATGTCATCGAGTTGACTCCAACTCATAGCGACTAAATGACAGAGCAGAACTGCCCCAAGGGTTTCCTACGTTGTAATCTTTATGGCTGCAGATCACCAGGTCTTTTCTTCCATGGAGTACCTGATACGTTCAAACTACCGACCTTTGGTAAGCATCCGAATGCTTAACCATTGTGCCACTAGAGCTCCTTTACAAAGAATTTTGATCAAAAGAAAAATAAGGATGGGTTTCTAACCTGATGCAGGATCTACTTTTAATCAGACATTATAACAGAGATAATGCTGTCTCTCTCAAAGCTAGAATACACAGGTCCAGGATTCATGGCAGGAAGTGGAGTGGCTCCTTTCACTATCACACCTAGTAACCCATCTAACTCTGAGCACTGCTGATGGAAGGTTTTGGTTCCTATGGGGATCATGCTGCCACAAGTAGACATAAGGATTCCACTGCATTGGGAGAAGAGACTGCCGCTTGGCCATTTTGGCCTCTTCATTCCACTGAGGTAGTAAGCATATAAGGGGTTACTCTGTTGGCTGGCGTGACTGATTCTGACTACCAAGGGGAAATTAGATTGCTCCCATACACTGGGGGTGAGGAGGGCTATGTTTGGAACCCAGGGGAATCTGAGGCACCTCTTAGTACTTCCATGCCCAGGAGGAAGATTAAATTACAGCAGCCAAAACAAGGCAAGAATGCTGAGGATTCAGATCCTTTAGGAATGAAGGTTTGGTTTACCCATCAGGTAAAGAACCCCAATGAGGTGAAGCTCTGGTGAGGGAAAAGGAAACATGGAATGTGTAGCTGAAGTTATCAATACCAGCTAAGATCTTGTGACCAGTCACAGAAATAAGGACAGGCAGGAGCAGCTGCACACATCTTCCTTGCTTGTTATGTATTTGTACAGAATAAGTATTTTTCTCATCCCTAATTTTTTTTTTTGTTGGACATTAATATTATCTGCTAGTAAGAGAATATTCAGATGGGACTATGACTGTTTTGGGGGGAGTAAAATCAACATAATCTAGAGATGGACTTTTGGGATTTTGTGTCTCATTGTGGGGGGGGGGCGTGTTGTTTGTACCTAAGATAACTGTACCTCCTTGGGTGGAAGAATGGCATTGGTTCAAGGGTGTGTGGGACACATGTTGACTGTGCCAGCTATTCAGTTACTGTCTCTCAGCTCTGACCTGCCCTTCTGTGCTCTGGACATCCACTTTTGCTTTGCTAGCTGGCTGTGTTAGCCCTGCCAACAGCCGAGGCGGATAGACTAAAGAAAGATGAGAGCCTGACTTGTTATTTCCTGTCTGCATCTTATTCCCCTGAGCTGCATCCCAAGGATGCTTCTTCACCATGGCAGTGGCAGCTCCTTCTCATAGCAGATTTCTCCAACATGTACCTAACCAGGTATACTGTGCCAGCCCCAGCCCCAGACACTAGCCCCATGGGCACCTTCTCCAAGCCTAGAAACACCAGCACCAGCCAGCTGGTGGCCTCACTTCAGAAGTCTTAGTCCTAATAACACAGGGCCTTCTCTAAGATTCTAAATTTTAATAATTCAAACTTGTACCCTTTGTTCCCTCAGGACTGGGGAAACTGCATTCATCACCCCTGTGATACCTTAGAGCAGTGGCTGTAAAACTGTGGTCCCAGTATCACCAATATCAGCATCTCCTGGGAATTTGTTAGAAATGCAGATTCTTAAGAGCCACCCCTGGCCTACTGAATCAGTAAGTAATTCTGAGGGCAGGACCAAGAATCTGTGTTTAACAAGTCCTGAAGTTTGAGAATGAACACCCACTGCTTAGAGTTCTCATTTTAGTCTTTCAGATGCTTACTTAACAGTAAACAATTCTTTATATTAAATTCTGTTTAAATAACAGGTGTGGTTTGTGAATAGACCATGACTACTACAGTTGCTTTTAAGAATAAATAGGCTAGATGGCTTCACTGGTGAATTCTATCAAACATTTAAAGAATTATCACCAATCCTGGTCAAACTCTTCCAAAAAATAGAGGAGGAACTTTCCTAAGGCCAACATTACTCTAACTCCAAAGCTAGACAAAGACATCACAAGAAAACTACAGATCAATATTCCTTATGAATAGAGATGCAAAAATCCTCAACAAAATGCTAGCAAACACAATTCAGCAGCATATTAAAAGGATTATATACCATGACCAAGTGGGTTTTATCTCAAGCATGCAAGGGTGGTTCAACATACAAAAATCAGTGTAATACACCACATTAACAGAATGTGAACCACATGAACACCTGAATGCAGAAAAGGCATCTGACAGTACCATTTCATAATAAAAACACTCAACAAACTAGGACTAGAAGGGAGATTCCTCAACATTATAAAGGGCATTACAAAAAACCCACAGCTAACATCATACTTGATGGTTTACACCCTTAGGGTCACTACTGTATTCAACATTGTACTGGAAATCTTAGCCACAGAAATTAGGCAAGAAAAAGAAATGAGGCGTCCAAAATGGAAAAGAAGCAAAGCTATCTCCATTTGCAGATAATATGATTCTGTATGCAGAATATCCTAAAGAATCCACAAAAAAAACTGTTAGAGCTAATAAATGAATTCAGGAAATTGGCAGGATACACGGTCAACACACATACAAAAATCAATTCTATTTCTATACAGTAGTGGCAATGAACAATCCTAACATGAAATTAAGGGAAAAAATTCCATTTACAATAGCATCAAAAATAATAAACACGAACAAATTTAACCAAGAAAGTCAAAACTTGTACACTGAAAACAATAAAACATTGCTGAAAAGACTTCAAAGAAGATACAAATGGGAAGAAGTCTCATGTTCATGGATTGGCAGACTTAATATTGTTAAGATGTCAATACTACCCAAAGTGATTTACAGATTCAATCCAATCCTTATCAAAATTCCAACAGCTTTCTTTGTAGAAATGGAAAAGCTGATCTTCAAATTCATGGAATTGCAAGGGGCCCTGAACAGCCACAATAATACGGAAAAAGAACAAAGTTGGAGGACTCATACTTCTCAATTTCAAAACTACAAAGCTACAATAATCTAAACCTAGGTACCGGCATAAAGACAGACATAGAGACCAGTGGCATAGCATTAGACCCATACATCTATGGTCATTTGATTTTTGACAAGGGTGCAAAGACCATTCAATGGGGAAAGAATAGTCACTTCAACAAATGGTTGTGCAACAACTAGATCTTCACATGCAAAAGAATAAAGTTGGACCCGTCTTACACTTTACACAAAAATCAACTCAAAAATGGATCAAAGACCTAAATGTAAGAGCTAAAATTATAAAACTCTTAGAAAACAAGGGTAAATTTTCATGACCTTGGATCTGCAATAGATTCTTAGATATGACACCAAAGCATAGGCAACAACAGAAAAAGAGAGAAACTGGACTTCATAAAAATTAAAAACTTCTGTGCATCAAAGGATACTATCAAGAAAATGAACAATCAATAGAATGGTAGAAAATATTTGCACATGTATCTAATAAGGGTCTAGAATCCAGAATACACAGAAAGAGCTCTTACAACAATAACCCAATTAAAAAAAATGGACAAGTGACTTGAATACACATTTTTCCAAAGATATTCAAACTACAATGAGATATTAATTCAAACCCACTAAAACAAAACAAAACAAAAACCAAACTCATTGCTGTCGAGTTGATTCCAACTCATAGCGACCCTATAGGACAGAGTAGAACTGCCCTATAGGGTTTCCAAGGAGCAGCTGGTGGAGTTAAACTGTCAGCTTTTTGGTTAACAGCTGAGCTCTTAACCACTGTGTCACCAGGGCTCCTAATACCATATTTTTACACAAATAATGTGCAAATTATACATTAGTGCGCTCATGAAAACACCTCGCAGGGGGAGGGTGCAGTTGGCAAAAAAATGTATAACGCATTATTTGCATTAAAATGTGGTGTATGATCCAGCAATTCCACTCTTAGGTACATAACTGGATGCTGCTGAGTCGGTTCCAGCTCATGGCAATTCCATGTGTGTCAGAGTTGAACTATACTCCGTAGGGTTTTCAATGGATGATTTTTTTAGAAGTAGATTGCCAGGCCTTTCTTCCAATGTGCCTCTGGGCAGATGAGAATCTCCAACCTTTCTGTTAGCGGCCCAACACATTAAGCTTTTGCACCACCCAGGGACTCCCCTAGGTAGATACTGAAGGGAAATGAAAACAAATGTTCACACAAAAACTTGCACCGTGAAGCCGCACTGTTCATAATTGCCAAAAAGTACAAACAACCCAAATGTCCATCAACTGATGAAAGGATTAAAAAAAAAAAAGTGGTATATCCAGACAAGGGAAGATTATTTCGCTATAAACAGGAGTAAGTATTGATACATGCTATAACATTAATGAACCTTGAAAATATTATGCTAAACAAAAGAAAACACAATTGATTTGCATTTGTATGACTGCATATATACGAAATGTCCAAAATAAGCAAATTCAGAGACACAAAAAAGCAGACTGGTGATTGCCAAGGGATGGAAGAAGGAGGAATTCGGGGTAACTGCTATCGGGCATGGGGTTTCTTTTTGGAGCAATGGAAATGCTTTGGAATTAGATACTGGTTGTCTGCACTATGAATCTACTAAAAACCACTGAATTGTATACTTTAAAATGGCTCAAATAGTGAATTGTAGGTTATGTGAATTTTATCTCAATTTAAAAATCTACCTATAATTAAACAAACAATAAAAAGACACTGGTCATACTGGGTAAAGTAACTGCAGTTGTGACAAGCAGTGGTAAAAAGCAGAAATAAAGATGTTATGAGGGCATTTTTAAAATAAAAATATACATATATAAATTCTTAAATGATCTGATTTTTAAAGCAAATTTGAAGGAAGTGTGCTAAAATTAAATTTTTTTTTGAAAACACACACATCTTTTACATTAGTGTAGAATAATTCATTTTAGGTGGAAGCCAAAACAGAATCCAAAAGATCCACGGTACTATTTGCTTCAAAGAAACACAAAAGACATAAAGGTATCCGTTGCAAATTTATTATGCATAGGAAGCTTAACTTAAAAACCAACAGCATAGTAAAAAGATATGTTATCTCCATTCATGGCAGAACAGATTTCAAAATATATTTTATTTTAAATGTATTCAGTTAGTACATAATCCTTTATAAAAGTTGTATATATATTTTTTGTCAATATCTTCATTACATGTATAAATACAAGATTTACACAGCACCCCATCAAAAAATTTAAAACCCCTTACAAATATCTACATATATTTCATACCTATAAAACTTTCAAAGGACTGCTCTGATAAAGGTAGGCCATATTTAATATTCATTTATTGGTGCAGCAAAATACATAGAAATCTGTAAAGTTTTCTTAGTCCATAAAGTATCTCGAAAAATTAGCAAGACACTTGTGAAACTGAGCTTCACTAAACCATATTTTAGAAAGAACTTTGATGTGAATATTCCCATGAGATTTAAAAGTGAGATAAACAGAATGAAATGAAGATTATGATTAAAAACAACTGCATACTACAGAGAATAGTTAAGGCAGAAGTGTGACGGATGGGAAAAATTATTTGAGGAGTCAGACAAGGCAGATGTGGAAAAGTACAAATAGTAACAATGAATTCTGTAAGCCCGAACTTGAATATAAACTACTCTGGTATCTAGTTACTAATTGTTATCCACACTTCGGAATGTTCACATTTGTTGAAAACATTTTTAGAAGCATCCTCCAATTTCTATGTTACCATCAGAATGCTTGATGTGTTTTTCTTCTGTAAAATCACTCTGGATTGGACCTAGACACTAGGTTCAGGAATCTGAGTTGGTAGTGCTACATGATTAAAGAAAAATTTCCTTCATCTGGTAAAAAGATAATCACTGATCATATCTATGACTAGAGGTGTATATGTGGAATTTTATTCTAGATAAGAATAGGAAGTAGAAAGAATGAAAGGAAAGTAAACTTGGTTTTCCTGTGACCCCTGAACAAAGATCCCTGATACTGAGTGACTCTTAAAGTGGCCCCTCATAAACGCCTATGGGCTACGCAGCCATGTGTTCAGAGAAACAGGAAGAAATAAAATGAGGAGGGATTCTTCACCTGAAATCTTGCCAGAGATGGTAGTCCTACTATAATCCTGCACATTCTGCTGAAAAGGGCCTAGAAAGACTGCTGTCATGCTTATTCTGGTGTTATTAAAGGAAAGCTACCCTTTCTCCCAGAGATATGACTTTTTCTATTCAAGCTTCAAAGCTCAGACTCCAGATCTTGAGAGTTGCACATCATTTTCAGGTAAACATTTCAAATCTTACCTTGTTCTAATGTACAAAGAAAAAGAATGGATGAAAAGGAAGCAGGAGGAGAATGAGGAGGATGGAAGGAGGAGCAGAGGAAGTTGCTTATCATACTTGGCCCTGAAGGATGCTAGCATCTCTCCTCCAGCCCCATGAGGTCTCCATGTGGTATGGCTCCCTCCATGGCTCTCAAAGATGGCAGTTGCAAAATCACCCTTTCTGCCGAGTTTACAGTTCAGTGCATTGATTCCCAGGCTCCTCAAAGGAAGAGAGTTCCCAGATGCTGCTGTCTTGCAGCAGCGGCTCAAAGTCTTCCTCAATGCCCCGTTCTGGGGTGTTGGTCAGGCTGCCGCTGATGCTGCTGCTATGTTTGTGAATCCCACTGGCTTTACTGTATTCAGGGATAAACAAAGCAACCACAAAAGACATAAGAACTATACACGCCCCAAATAAGAATGGCGGGCCTGGGATGACAGCTCCCTGATGGGTGTGGGAAACAAATGAAGACGAAGAATTTAGTTAGCTTTTTCCATCCAAAATTAGTCCCGGATGACCCCAAAAAGCACACCATCAAAAAGTGAATCACGGCAATCTCAAAAACCAATGTCCCATTAAATGACAACGCAAGTTCAAACAGAGCTAGTATTTGGAACATGACAAGTAGCAACTAATCACTGCTCTTTGCACCACTTCTAAACAGTTTAACCAAACCTGTAAGCCTATAAGTGACAGTTGTTTATCTCTAATCCCATCCTATGACTTCAGATCATCCACTTCGGTAGATGAACATTAATTCTAGTTTTGCACAGAAATCTATACTAAATTTTGCTTAGATGGAAGAAGGGAAGAAATATCAAATAAATAGAGAATGCACTCTAGCTCAATATTTAAGCTGAACTTTCATGTTTTCTTTTGCCTGGGCTTAGCCAGAGGACAGCATTCTGAATGAAATTAAGACAAATCTTTTACATCAAAGACTCAGGAAGCACTGAACCCAGTACTTACTGTCAAATACAACAGGCATATTACATAAATAAGAACTTGCTCCAAATTTAAGGTCAGAAGATTTTGCCATAATCTGACACTACCATTGTCATAAAACTAGACTTATTACCAATTTACCTGCAGGGCAGCTTGGTTAGAATTCAATTCTGGCTCCATCTCAGTCAGTTCGACGTGGAACATATAGAATATGAAGCCATACAGTGCAGGCCCCAGACCATTGCACAGTCCTCTTATTCCAGTTATGATCCCCTGGGTGACTCCTAAATTAGAACAAAGAGAAGTAAGGGAGCCAGTGTTTTCATTAAAGAATCTGAAGATTTGGAGTTCAACAGTACCTTCTTATAAACGATGATATACTCATTCAGCAGAGCTGAACTGGATAGAAAGCATGCTGAGGAAAGTAGATTAGGAGACTTAGGCCATCATATTTTCATTCATTCCACAAATGTTTTCTTGGTTGTTACTATGTCCTTTTAACATCATTACTCTCTGTCCTAAGATCTAAAAGGAGATGAAATGACAGTATTGTTTCTAAAATCCTTTTGGGGCAGAATTCCTCCAGAACAGCAACATCTGCCTATAAATGGGGAATAATAAAAACCAAAACTTTAATGTTCCCTATTTGCAGGCAATTTCCACTTTTGTACTGATTGAGACTTGCCTGCTTTGTTCATTTAATGGTGCTTTAACAATAACATCCTGCCCACATGGGCACACACAGCCCTTCTGGCTGCTGCACATGCTTCCTGGGCACAGACTCCCATCTCTCACAGCTGCTCTTTGCATTCTGGGCAGCGTCTTCCTAATGACCTGTACTGAAAAATACCAGAAGTGCCAATTTCTAGATATGTCTGGCTTCTGAAGTGGCAGGTAAAAAATTAGCTTGAATCATATGAAATGTGTGTTTTCGTAAGTCAAAAATGGTCAAATATCGGCAACTTAATATCATGTGTCCTAAATAATGCCGACACTTGGAAACATCTGTAAAAACAGCCAAAGAAAATTCGTGTCCTAAGTGACAGGAGGCATGGATGGTACATGTCAGACACCAAGGCAGTGCTAGTTCTCCATGATATGGTGCCCAATTTACAGAATTGACACCTCCCCCAAAACGCGAGGCTCCCGTGGACCACAAAGCTGCGTTCTTATAGCCAGAGGTGGTCACCTGTGGTCTACAAGTGACACTATTTGAAAATGGACATGAATAACATGGCTAATTTCTGATGTGGAGAAACAGGGATAATGAATAAACTATCTTTTCCAATCTAGGTTTTTATTGAAACTTTTTAAAGGACTCTTAAGAATTAAAAAAAAAAAAGAAAAAAAAAAAACCAAAAAATTTCCCTCTGAATTAAGGTGAGCCACTAGGATATGCAGAAAGAAAAGGGTTAATTCTGGCAGCAGGAACTACCAGAAAGGGAAGCCAGAGGCACAAGAAAGAAGGAATTAAAAGTTTAGATGGTGGCGTGCTCCTCCTCATAGTAACTCCTCATTTTGTCTTTCACTTTGTATCCAATTATCAATAACCACACAGATTTACTTTTTCTTTTTCCCCTCAAAGAACAATTTCCTAAATTAAGCTAACAAACTTTGAGTGTTCCATTTTTAAATAACTCATTACTAACTGCTCTATCATTATTTAACAAACACATATTAAAACGGGAGTATAATCTAGTTAATTCTGATGGTAATGGACAAAAGAGGAGTCAAAACTGAAAACAGAAGATGGATAGTTCTATTTCTAATTCTTAGTATTCTAAACTGATGAATCCAGGTTTTCAAAATATAAGATCAAAGCAAAATACAGAGCATAAGAAAACCATCATTTCCCTCGAATTTTCCTATTTGGCAAGATAAATAGGTATGATCATTGAGAAGGGAAGACGCGGTTGCCACTTCTGGCTCTGCAAAGAGGCATCAGAGCTGCTTACGGTTTTGGCAGGGAGGTCTCAGCTGAAAGGGGAAAGCAGTGAGGGTGACAGCGACCTCACCTTGCTGATCAGATTCTGCATTCCGTGAGACAAGGGCGCTGACTGCTGGAAATGTGATGCTGGACATGGCAGCCACGGTCCCTGCTGCCCACATCATCCTGCAATGATAGGACAGGCTGCAGTCAGGGGGGGCTGGCCTGCCCAGGGAGCTTGCTGTTCAGAGAACAATTAGTGGCATAATGTACAAATGTCTTCTATTTTCTCGTGTTAAGTTTTATTTATTTTTCCTCTTAAAAAATGGATTTTTTTCTTTTTTTTTAACTTGGAAGGTTATACATCACACTGTTAATACTGATCACTTCAGGGGCTGGGACAGGGGTAGACGGGCTGGGAGAGTTTCCTTTTTTAATTTTATTTTACTTCTTTCAAAAATCTTTTCGTCTCCCTGGTTTCCCTATTACCAGCTTTAGATATAAGCTTCATGAAGTTCATAAGAGGCTTTCTTTTGCTTATATAAATACTGCATTTTCTCCACTCATTTCCAACTTTCTGCTTTGTACTTCTCAAAGGCTCATCTTCCACTGGCCCTCAAGCTGCTCAGTTTTCTATGCCTGAACAAAGCCAAGGCATATTGTGCCACCAACTGAAAAAAGAGAGATGTGAAGTTTTTTTCTCAGTGAAAGGGGCTTAAGTGTTAGTATTAAGTGTGAATATGAGAAGAGAGAGCTTGTGGCCTAATGGCCAGACTTCTTTGGGGCTGGCTGACACACACGTCCTCGCTGAAAAACAAAAACCCTTTATGTCCACAAAGTCTTTTTAACACTGAATGGGTTTGACTGAATCAGCTAATAAACCAAAATTCATAGGACCAAAATCTTAAAAAACAAGAAGAATCGACCAAGTTCAGCTGATAAGAAGTCACACAGAGAGAAAGACTCTTTTCTCACGTGCGTTTGCTCCCCAAACTGACCACCGACCACTGAAGCTTGTCTAGCTTCTCTAAATTATGTCATCCATTCACATACATAAAGCGAGGAGCAAATCTAATGTTTAAAATGGAGACATGCAATCTGGTATTTGGTATCGAGGCATACATGGAAAGCTACCACATAACAAAACAGCACTCAGGATTCTTTTTATTTCTTCTTATTCCACAGGGTGTATCTTGACCCTCCTTCTTGTTTATGAGAATCTAATGTGCTAGCAGTAATAACTGTCTCAGCACACACATGATTTTGGAAGAGATTTTAATGTTGGTTTAACTCAAATGTTTTACTTTATAAATGTTATGTTACCAGGTCACTCAGCTGATAAGGGCAGTGCAGTCTGCCACAATTGGTCATTTTCCTTCATCTTCTGTTTTGCTTTTGACTATATGCAATGTCTCTAAAAACTGACAAACATGTTTAAAAAGTAGAGTTAAAATGTTACTGGGGACCCTGAGGGTGAGGGTTATGGACACATATTCAATGCTTACTGAAAGACCACTAAGGTGAAGACAATCTTTACAAATAACCCTGAATTACCTAGCTCCACTCTTCCCCAAATTAAAGTCTAAATGGTTTTTGAAACATTGAATACACCCAACCAGCAAAGTTCTATATCATTCCTAAAATTATGCAGCAAAAAAAAAAAAAAAAAAAAAATCCTTGCATCTTTCTCATTGCACTCAGGTTGAGCTTCATTAGAAGACGCATTTGTCTGTTAGTTCATGAGAATCTAAGGAAGAGGCTTACCAGGCCTGAGATCCAAAACCGTACCATGCCAACTGGAACATCTGGAAGCCCAAACCAAGGAGGACAGTATTCTTATTCCCTAATGATCTCATCAAGATGCTAAGAAAGACTGTCTGCAAAGTAAACGACAGAATCTTCAGAGACCATGTAAACACAGAATTTGAATGCAAGCTCTGTAAGTGAGATCCATTCACTGATGACTGGAACCTCTAAAGGCCCACTTCATGGTCCTCAATCTTGGAGACTGGCCAGTACTGATTCAGTTCTACAGGGATGGAGCTTGAAGGCTCTCAGATGGACCTGGGTTTTTCGGTCTCCTCCAATTTACCTAGTGTTCTTCTAGCACTCTCCAAAAGGTTACTGGACCCTTTATCTCTTACTAATAGATGTTCACCAGTTACCAGGATTGGGAAGGAGACACCTGTCTCTTTGGAGAAATGCCAATCATTCAACCATCAGTGAACAGCAACCCTCTACTAAACATTTACAAAATATGTGGGATTTTGATGGAGGTTAATAGTTTTCTACAAAGTTGAGATCTGATCTTAACAAATACATACTCCGCTAAAAATAACTAGTTTGAGATACTCTGAAAAAGAGTTGCATAAAAGATGACTCTGGACTAATGGACTGACTAGAGTTAATATAGAAAATTAACTAAAATCCTGACAACTTGAAAGTTTAAAATAACCTATATTTGTTAACACAGTTCAACAAAAATAAAAAACAGAAAGCCTTTGCCTTGATGCATTTCCATAAGCCTTGTCAATCTTAATATCTGGGAGAAACCATTTCAATATTGGGGGAAACCGTTTCCCAGCCTTCTCATTTTCTCTTACAGAGAGTTACCACAGCAGAGCACTCTGCTCAGCCTACTTTAAAAGCAGCAGGGGGCTGCTTCAGGGAAACACCATGTGACCATTCCACTGATAGAGTGAATGCACTTAAGCACTACAGTGAATTAATTTCAAGGCTAGGTGTCCTCTCTTTTGTGGTCCTAGCTTTATAACAGACAGGGAAATATTTATTCTTTACTCATTATGTAAATTCTAATCCACTAATTTACTACATTTCTTCAATTCTGGGGACAGCAGGCACTGGAAGAGTTATGGATTTTCATTTCTGCTTTTATTTCTATTTACTTTTCAATATTAAAACAATACTGAAGCATTCTCCTAGTTAAGCTAATTTTGCCATATCAAGATTTAGATTGCAATTATTTACCATTTTGGTTAGTATAAAAGTGAACAAAAGAATTAACCCAAAAGAAGTTATAAGTACTCTAAAGAGTACTAAAAGGTTGGATTAAATTCCTCCTAAATTATAACCTAGACATTATATTAAAAATAGTATGCTTCTGTGGACAACAGTATGCTTCTGTGGACTGAATCAATGTGATATTGTACTACAACTATGCAAGATGGTACCATGGGGGATGGCGGTGGTACCTGGGTGTGGGGTTCACGGGAGCTCCCTGTACATTTCTTTGAGGCTTCCTGTGAATCTATGGTTATTTCAGGATAAAAAGTTAAAAAAAAAAAAAAATTAGTACGGTTAAGATGATACTCACCTGAGCCACAATAGACAGAATTCCTACCATAGCTATGAATGCTGCAATTTTAACAGACCCAAAACCTATGACCTGTGGAATGGAAAGAAAACATTTTAGAAATAGAGACATTATAAAAATAGCTAACAATAAATGTTATATTCTCTTTAGCTATTTCGAGGTGGGGCCAAGATGGCAGAGTAGTCAGACACTTCCAGTGGACCCTCTTACAACAAAGACCTGAAAAACACTAGTGAATCAATTATATACGACAATCTAGGAGCCCTGAACGTCTACGGCAAAGCTGAGGAACTGGACTGAGTGTCAGGGGGAGGGAGAGACAGTGCGGAAGCAGCGAGGAGTTGCCAGACCTGACCCAGCGAGAGCCTGAGCCCTTCAGGCCTGATCAGCTCGGGAGTGAGCGGTGAGGCAGGCAAGCAGCCATGCGCGGGACAGCGTATTCCACACCGGGAGAGACCCAGAGGCAGAGAGGCTACTCGGCCACACGGAACCAGTGAGAAACAGCCCTTGATCGGTGAAAAGATAAGTAATTGCATCCGGCCTACTGCGAGGATCAAAAACACCCCCCCTCAGGGAAAAACCTCTCTCCCATTTACCTCCCTGCTCCCTGCTCTGCACCGGGTCCCGGACTGGCTTCAGCAACTGCCGAGTCCCCTGGGCCGGAAGTAGGATTCGTCACATGCCCTGAGCCATTCTCCCGGCCTTGCAGAGAGAACAAATTAACAAATGGGGAAAAAATAAACTCTCCTAAGCCAGGAACCCAGGGTACGCACAGCTCCTCTGCCTAGGCACAGGCATAAGGGATCCATGCTAAAAATACTAGTTTGAGATACTCTGAAAAAGAGTTGCCTAAAAGATGACTCAGCACAGAAAATTAATTGGAACAAAGAAACTGTGAACAACACACAAAAAAAGACATCAAAATGACAGCACTAAAATCTTACCTATCAATAATTACGCTCAATGTAAATGGACTAAATGCACCAATAGACAGAGAGTGGCAGATTGGATAAAAAACACAATCCGTCTATGTGCTGCCTACAAGAGACACATCTTAGACTTAAAGACACAAACTAAAACTCAAAGGATGGAAAAAAATATATTAAGCAAACAACTCTCAAAAAAGAGCAGGAGTGGAAATACTAACCTCTGACAAAACAGACTTTAAAATAAACTCCACCACAAAGGGTAAGGAAGGACATTATATAATGATTAAAAGGTCAATACACCAGGAGGACATAACTATAATAAATATTTATGCACCAACTCCAAAATACATACAACAAACTCTTAAACAGCACTGAAAAGAGAGAGAGACAGCTCCACAACAGTAGTAGGAGACTTTAACACACCACTTTCGGTGAAGGACAGAACATCCAGAAAGGAGCTCAACAAAGAAATGGAAGAGCTAAATGCTACAATCAACCAACTTGATCTCACAGACATATACCGAACACTCCACCCAACAGCAGCCAAGTATACTTTCTTTTCCAACGCACATGGAACATTCTCCAGAATAGACCACATATTAGGCCATAAAGCAAGCCTTAACAAAATCCAAAGCATCGAAATTATTACAAAGCATCTTTTCTGACCATAAAGACATAAAAGTAGAAATCAGCAACAGAAAAAGCAAGGAAAAAAAAAATCAAACACATGGAAACTGAAGAACACCTTGCTCAAAAACTACTGGGTTATAGAAGACTCCAACGAGAATGAAAACACATCCTGTAAGAAGCTTTGGGACACAGCAAAAGCGGTACTCAGAAGTCACTTTATAGCAATAAATGCACACATCCAAAAAGAAGAAAGGGCTATAATCAAAACATTAACCCTACCACTGGAACAAGTAGAAAGAGAGCAGCAAAAGAAGCCCTCAGGTGCCAGAAGAAAGGAAATAATAAGAATTAGAGCAGAATTAAATGAAATAGAGAATAGAAAAACAACTGAAAGAGTTAACGAGACCAAAAGTGGTTCTTTGAAAAGATCGACAAAATTGATAAACCACTGGCCAAACTGACAAAAGAAAAACAGGAGAGGAAGCAGATACCCCATATAAGAAAATGCAATGGGTGATATCACAACAGACCCAAGTGAAATTAGAAGAATCGTAACAGAATACTATGAAAAATTGTACTCTAAGAAATTTGAAAACCTAGAGGAAATAGACAAATTTCTAGAAACTCACTACCTACCTAAACTAACACAAACAGAGGTAGAACACTAAATAAACCCATAAAGAAGAGGCTGAAAAGGTAATTAAAAAACTCCCAACAAAAAAAAGCCCTGGCCAGATGGCTTCACTGGAGAATTCTACCAAACTTTCAGAGACGAGTTAACACCACTTCTACCAAAGGTATTTCAGAGCGTAGAAAAGGATGGAATACTCTCAAACTCATTCTATGAAGCCAGCATAACCCTGATACCAAAATCAGGTAAAGACACCACAAAAAAAGAAAATTACAGACCAACACCCCTCATGAACATTGACATAAAAATCCTCAACAAAATTCTAGCCAACAGAATTCAGCAACGTATGAAAAAAATAATTCACCAGGATCAAGTGGGATTTATACCACATATGCAGGGATGGATCAACATTAGAAAAACAATCAATATAATCCATCACATAAATAAAACAAAAGACAAGAACCACATGATCTTATCAATCAAACTAGAAGAGGCATCTGACAAAGTCCAACACCCACGCATGATAAAAACTCTCAAAAGAATAGGAATAGAAGGGAAATTCCTCAGTATAATTAAGGACATTTATATAAAGCCAACAGCTAACATCATCCTAAATGGAGAGACTTTGAATGGGAACCAGACAAGGATGCCCTCTATCACCACTCTTTTTCAACATTGTGCTGGATGTCTTAGCCAGAGCAATTAGGCTAGAAAAAGAAATAAAGGGCATCCAAACTGGGAGGGAAGAAGTCAAAGTATCTCTATTTGCAGATG